AAGTAAATTGCACCACATATAATTCGCCGCATAGGTTGCATCACGCCGATTGTACAACGTATGTTGCATATATTATATTACATAACATCGATTGCACAATCCATGCGTATGTGTATGTATATGTACAGAGAGATGTATATGTATAGGTCTACGTAAATGTATATGTACATGTTGATGTACGTGTCCATCTATATAAATTCAATATATATATATATATATATATATATATATATATGTTGAATCACTTGTTTTGTTATCTATGTTGCCCAACGTGGCGTACACAACAGAGATCGCACCACGTCTATTCTCCTCGCTTACAAAAAATGAATATATCACCCTCCCCAACTGGACTTATCCGTCCGGCCTCGCGATGTGCAATTCATTTGTTTTGCCCCATCTCTCTTTCTAAATGTGAATGAAACCCTATAATCCTAACCAGGCCTGGTTCGCTCCCCCCCCGTATCCCTTCCAGAGCGAAAAACACTACGCGCGCACATTCGTTTATCAAAGACTACCCATTTTCAACCATCCTTTTCCGCATATGTGACCAAGTGCACCCGCGCGCGTCGTCGCGCGCGCATGCAAACATCCTTTCACGAAAACCCAGAATTTCGCAAGCATTTCATTTAGTGCCCCGGAAAGATATACGAAGCATTTGTTGCGCAATGTGAATGTTCCAACGCCTGCGCGCGCCTTTTTTGTTTAAAGAGATGCCACTGTTTTTCAACACCTTCAACCGTGTTTCTCGCGCGCGCATATGGAAATCATTGGAATGCCTTTGCGCGCGTGCTTGAGAGGGGGGGCGGAGGGGGCGCGATCCCTGTCAAATAATATCATGCGAATCGCTCGCGCCCGTCGGCCGCGAGCGCATGTCGAAACCCTTTCACGACACACATCGTCGACGCGTGGGCACTATCATCGCCATCGGCGTGATCAGCATCGGTGCCGACAGTGGCCTTGCCGTCGTCATCGTCATCGTCGTGGCCAGCATCGCTACAATCATCGCTGTGACGGCGTGATCGGCATCGGCGCCGTCATTGGCCTTGCAGCCGTCGTCGTCACCGTCATCTCCAACATCGCTACAATCATCATCGTGCCTGCCGTTGTTCACGTCGCAATGCTACCGCGCCCGCCCGAATCGCCGACTCGCATTGTTGTGGCCGCGCGTCAGCGCGGCGTGCGAAACGCGGTGGGAAATAATTCGCGGTCAACGCCACCGTGTCCGCTTCGGTTGCGCCAGGCTTACTTGCAGGCCGCTCTGACCGCGAGCCTGCGCGCGCTAGCGCGGCCGCAGCGACGCGCCAGGCAGCGCCAATCAGTCATCGCAATCGCCGCCGCGAGGGCTTTGCGAACCAAATTGCGGGTGGGGCACTTGAACGAGCAGGAGAGTTGGCAACTTCAACTCGGGCAAGGTGCATTGCGCCACGTAGACTGCTCCAACCAAGTTCTCTTGTCCCCCCCAAAAAGGATCTACCCCTCCCGGGATTATCCGCCTCCGCGGGGGATGTGCAATATGCGCAGGATTTTGCCCCATTGTTCTTTCAACTAACAAATTCATATGGCCCCCGCCAAACGGGCACCGATCCCCCGTCATCCCAAGCCCAGAAAAAAACGAGGCGCTCGCATTCGATCGTCACAAATCATCAATAGATTCAAAAAGCTCTCGCAATAGAAACAACAACAAACTAAATGTGCGCGCGCGTCGTCGCGCGCGCGTGCCGAAATCCTCTGGACACCTTAGGTTCTGCAGAGATTACAAAATCGAGCGCCCCGAAAACATTGAAAGAACCCTTTGGCAACATGAATGGGATCAAGAATCTCCGCGCGCATTCCTGCGAAAAATTGCGCACTTCGTTGGTTGCCAACGTTCTCATCAATTTCATCTAAACGTGCCCCTCGCGCGTGCATGTCGACATCATTCGAACGCCCTTGCGCGCGAGATTGGGGGGGCACGATCCCTGTCAAATGATATCATGCGGGCCACTCATGCTCGTCGGCCGCGCGCGCATGTCGAAATGCTTGCGCGATTTACGTTTCCGGCACGTGGGCACCATCACCATCGTCGGCGTGATCGGCATCGGCGTCGTCATTGGCCTTGCCGTGGTCATCGTCACCATCATCACTAACATCACTAAAAGCATCGTCGTGTCTGCCGTTGTCGGCGTCGCCGCGATGCCGTGCCCGCCCGACTCACCAGCTCGCGCTGACGTGCCCGCGCGTCAGCGTGGCCTGCGCGACCCGCTGTGGAGTCCCGAGCGGTCAGCACACGTGCGGCCACGTCGATCGCGCCAGGCTAGCTGGCCACTCTGCGCGCGAGCCCGCGTGCGCTAACGCCGCCGCGGCGATGCGCCAACCAGCGCCAAGCACTCGTCGCAATCGCCGCCGCAAGGGTTTTGCAAACCAACTTGCTGGTGGTGGGTGGGGTGATTGTGCGAACGGTGGGGTTGATAATTTCAAGCTCGGCAGGGTGAATTGCACCGCGTCGGTTGAGCCGCGTAGAGTACGCCGCAACATAGGTTGCAACGCGTAGGTTGCACCTTGCACCGCCCATATTGCGCCACATAGATTGCGCATCATATCTTGTATCACAATAGTTTGATCCGCACATGTTGTTCCGCGCAACGTAGAGTGCGCGCCATATATTGCACGCCGCAGAATGAACCCTAGATATTGCACAGCGCAGAATTGCCCCACATGAATTGTACAACATATCTTGCACCACATCGGTTGCACCACACACATACGCACATGTAAATATATGTATATATATATATACACACTAGAACCATTGCGCGCGCTTCGCGCGCGCTCAAGTTCTAGGTAGGCTTGATCGGCTAACTCATGTCATCTCATTTGGTCGCTTCTTGCGTCCAAGGGCTCCCTTGGAGGCCCTGCGCAAGCCTCGGAATCGTACAGAAAGGGAAGTGCGGAAACGCAGACATCATTCATTTCCTTTAGGTATTCAACGGTTTGGGGCACTCAAAAGCTTTCTGGGTTCTTTTTTGGAAGGTGAGGGGGGTCTGAATTGTGGTCTGTTGTGCAAGAATAGACCAGGGGCCAAACTCGGAAAGTCTTCCGGACCCCCTGGGGTTTCTGGAGGCCTCCTGGAGGCCTGGATAGCCGTCGGAAGGGTGTCTCTGGCTGCGCGGGGGCGTGTTGGGCCGTTCTTAACGTTCTGGGGGCTCCTTGGGGTCGTCGTGGGCTGTCCTTGGGCGTCTTGGGGACCCCCCTGGGAAGCCGGGAGGCGCGGTACCGGCCAGATGTCAGGGGATGTGTGGGATCTCCGAGTAGGACCACTTTGGAAAAGAAAAGGAATTCTGGGAATTCCTTTTATTCTTCTTTTCAAAATCCTCGATCTTTGAGGGTTGGAAGCGGGAAAACGTGAGAAGGCGGAAACCATTAGAAAAACCATGGGAAATCAATGATTTTACCCTCTTTGGGCTCTCTCGGGACGGCTCTCGCAGAGCTGTTCTTGGAGCCTCGTCGGGGTCTTTCGGGGGCCTCTCAAGGATCGGGTTGGTGTTGGGGGCCTCTGGGGGGTCCTGGAGGCCTCTCGGAGGTCTCTGGAAGCCTCCTGCTCTTGGACCATTGGAAGCTCGAAAACGCAAGAAACCAAACACATTAAATTAGCCAGACGAAGGACCCAACCATGTGCAGTTGCGAGTACCGCATTGTGGGTACCGGTTTCGGTGAAGCTCCTATGGGGCCACGAAACTTGTGAGGGGTGCGCCGAAATTGGTGGCGCGGACGCATGTGGACACCGCCACTGGGGCCTTCGGTGTAGCTCCCTATGGGGCCACGAAGCGCTGCCCTGGGCCCTGGGCGAGGGAGACGCATGCGAACTGCGCCATTGGGACCTTCGCTGGAGCTCCTTATGGGGCCACGAGCCAAGCAACATCCAGCCAAAACGGACTGCCAACCATCTGTGCAAACAACAAACCAGTGAACCGAGTTGGCAGCTAGTTAACCGACAAGCCAACCAACCAACCAACCAACCGAACAAGCGTAGCAATGCAAGCTGTCAATTGGGGGCTGGCAGCAGACGGCGAAGTCTTTCAGATAGCTCGCTGTCTGGGGCCCGCGCTCGCAAACATGATTCATTGGAAGGAATGCGCCTTGGTGGAAGCAAACCCTGGACCTCGAGGCTTTCTCCAAGACCAACTTTTCATGCGGAGTCGCTTATCGACGGTCCACGGGCCTAGGAGGAGGAGGAAGAGGAGGAGGAGAAGGAGGAGGAGGAGGAGGGGGAGGAGGAGGAAGAAAACACCAACATCCAGCCAGACCCGTCCTGGGGTGCGACCAGGAGCCCCCTGGGGGCCCAGCAGGGGTGAAACGCGTCCGACGATCCCTCGATCCCTCGACCCCTCAGTCCCTTGATCCTTCGATCCTTCGATCCCTCGATCCCTCGACCCCGCGATCCCTCGACCCCCTCCACCCCTGGACCCCTCGACTCCTCACGCTGAGCGGGCTCTCCCGGCCCGGCCAGGAGCAACGATGCATTCCGACTCGCCCAGCTGCGGCGGTGGCGGCAGCGGCGGCGGCGCGGCGGCGTCGGCATGGTCGTCGTCGTCATTCGAGGGGCGGAAAGTTGACGATCGAGGCCTTCTGGGCTTCGGGGGTGGCGCCCACTTGGCCACGGCTGGACTCGCCTGGAAGCTCTGAGCAAGCCGCGCCCCACGACTTGTCAGGAGGTCGGTCGCCTCTGCCGCCGTCGCCACCACCGCCGTCGTCGTCGTCATTCGACGGGCGGGAGGGTGACAGGTCAGGGGGGTAGTTCATCGTAGACGCAAACATATGCGTCGACGTTGTCGTCATAGGCGTCGACGACCGAAAAAAACAGCTCAAGCCGGTCCACCACAGGCTGGGTTTCCATATCCCAGATGGACTTCTGATGGCCCCGTGGCCCGAAGCGGGGACCTCAGAGGCCGAGATCGAGGAGCAGAATGGGTCGTCGTCGTGGTGGTGGTGGTGGTCGTCGTCGTCGTCGTCGTCCCGAGAGCCCGTCGGTACGGGACGCAGTTGAAGAGGTCGTCGGCAGTAACCGTTCTGGGGATGAGCTCGAACGAGCGATAGCGGCCTCTTGGCGCTACTCCCTCCCTCCTTCCTGCTTCTCCTCCTGCCTCTCCCTCATCCATCCTCCTCCTCCTCCTCCTCCTTCTGCCTCCTCCTTCTCCTCTCCTCTCCTTCTCCTTTTCCCCCTCCTCGGGACCTTGGACAGCAGGTGAGGAACCCTCCCTGTCTATGCCTTGTCCCGCAGGTGAGTGAAGCTCCCTCTCACTTGCTCAGGGGGCCACGCCACCCCCTGAGTGTGTCGGGTGCTGTTCTGTAGATTTCAACCACAAGCCATCTCCTCCTCCTCCTCCTCCTCCTCCTTAATCCCTCTTCCTCAAACCCCAGGCTTGTTGGTAGGGTGGGCGGGGCCATCGCTGATCATCCTGAGGCTGGAGCTTGCCAGCCTTGCAAGTACAAGATACCCCAGAATCGAATCTATAAGTCGGATCGGCGATCGAGATGGATCGGATCGGCGAAACAATGGGCAGCCGAGCCGAGAGAAGTCGGATCGGCAGACACTGGCAGGCTAGCAGGCCTCCCTGGAGAACTCGGAACCCACATCGGAATCCGAAGCCGAATCGAGTCGGAATCGGACGCCATCGATAGAAGCAGAAACAACTGCATAAACATAAACTTTTGGCGCTCCGCGCGTATTTCTTGGATCTGCACTGGACCCCCCTCCCTGGCGCGCGGAGCGCGCCAGGGGTGGCGCCGGAGGCTCCGCCGGGGGGGGGGCCCAGCGCGAATCCAAGAAATCCGCGCGGAGCGCCAAACGTTTATGTTTATGGTTTTTTTTTCCTCCTGCGAATCGAAATCGAATCGAATCGAATCGGAGAAAGCGAACAACGAGCCCTGCAGATGTGGCTCCATGGCGGCGCCAGCTGCGGAACGGGGCCGCCCCCCTCGCAAGCGCCACTCCGGCCTGCTGCCGCTTCGTCACATTTCGCATTCGCCTGCCCTTGGAGACCTCGCCCAGAAGGAGTCTTTCACTGGAGGCGTGGAAAGGGGCACCAACTTAGCGGCGCGCACAAGGGGGTGGGGGGAGCGGGGAGGGCTTCTTAGAAGGAGGCTGCTTCTTAGAAGGCGCCAGCCTTACATCCATAGAGAAGGCCCGCGCCTTCCCTTCTCCCTCCCCCCTCCCCCCACCCCCCTCTGCGCGTGGCTGACCAACACCAACACAGGGGGTTGCCTCCACAGGGGGAAGATGATCCCAGATTTCGGTGTCGGTGGTAACATGTCGGTCACTTTGGCAGCCAGAATATAGCCACCATCACCGAGATCGGGATCTTCTCCCCTCGGTGGAGGCACACCGCCGATATTGGTGTTGGTGTCAACCTCTAGTCCTACGATTTCAATGGGCCCAGGGATACACAAATCAATAAGGAGAGATGCAAGGATGTCCCCAGATGTTGCAATCTTTTCGGGGTTTTCGTCTTCCCCCCACGGTCCATATTTTCCAATCTCTTCCTGGGAATCGAAGATCCTTTGTGTCTGTGTGTTTTTTCCCTCCTGCATCTGGGCACCGCAGGGAGGAGAGTTACGGCCAGACCTACGACAAAGTCACATCCTTCAAACACACGAGACCCTCCGCCGGCCAGGCTGAAGTACCTGCGAGGGTGCCCTTCCCCGGGATGCACAAGAGCATGCTACAAACACGAAGAACATTAGGGTACTCTCCCCGAGCCGACCTCGATCTCGTACCTCGGTCCAGCCGTACTTCGTCTCAGTCCACCGTGGTGTCGCGAGGCACGAGTTTTGGAGTGCCCTCAGGACCCTCCGTCCCCAGCCCTCAGGATTGAATATCACTGGGCTTAGGTCGGACATGTCCCCCTGCAGGCGGATTTGGGATAAGACTTAAGACATGTTCAACAGATGCGCGGCGACAGCTCAAACACGGGCAAAAAATCGCCTCCGAACTATGTTTTCCAATTTTGGAATATTCCTCCTGTAGAGGGACAGCCCCTACTCAATACCGGGCTGGTCTGCGCGCGTTCAAACTTCCTGGGGCTCCCAGCGCGCCCCGCGTGGTCCCCTGGCGCTTCCCGCACGCCTCCAGGCACGCTGGCGGGAGGGGCCGAAGGCCAGCATCGGGGGGAACGAAAGGGGGGGATTTGGGCTCCCGAGTTATCCGGGGTAACTCGGGTCTGGGGTAACTCGGGTTTGGATTCCCGAAAAACGAACCCGAGTTAGCCCTGACCCGAATTACCCCTGATGAATTGGGGCTCTGGGCGCTCGAATTATCCGGGGTAACTCGGGCCCGGGGTAACTCGGGTTCGGAATCCCGAAAAGCGAACCCGAGTTAGCCCTGACCCGAGTTACCCCTGATGATTCGGGTCTCTGAGGGATAGCAAAGGGTAGGGTGGAGAATTAGCTCACGTAGCTGATTTTCCCAGCGCCTCCCGGCGCCGGGCGGCGCCAAAGTATTGAGGAATGGGCCTGGCGGCGGGGCCAAAACCAGCTGCATGCAGCAGATTTCGTACCCCCCCCCTTTACCTATCCCCCCATTCGTTCGGCCCGACACTAGATCCGCCGCCCCCTCTTGGCTTGCCACAGGAGTGCCCGGCGTGCTGGACACTTTCGGTTTTGGCTCTGGTGCTTTTTCCAAGAGAGCTCTCCCCTGGGGCTTCTTCCCGTCCCGCCGGCCACCTGGAAAGGATCGCAAGAGGTCGTTGCAAAGGTTGTTCCTGCTCCAGACGGCTCCGAGATGGCCCAAGCTGGCCTCCAAGATGCCTCCACGATGGCCAAGATGGCCTCCAAGACGGCCCAAGAGGGTCCGAGATACTTCCAAATCCGCCCAAGAAGCCTCCAAGACGGCCCAAGATATGCCCAAGAGGCCTCCAAGAGGTCCTCCAGGAGGGCCCGAAGAGGATCAAATCATTGAGCTCCCGTAGGTTTTGACATATCTTCGTCTTTGCTCTTTTTCGGCCTTCCGACGGCCAACTACGGCCCAAGAGGCCCCCAAGATCACCCCCAGAGCGCCCAAGAGGCCTCCAACATCACCTCAGCACTGCCCAAGTAGCCTCCAAGACTGTCCCCAAGAGGGCCCAAAGACGGCCCAAGAGGCCTCTAAGACGTTCCAGGAAGCCTCCAAGACGGCCCTGGAGCACCTCAAGAGGGCCCCAAGTCGGCCCAAAAATGCCCCCAAGACGGCGTCCGAAGGCGTCAGACGGGCCAGGAGCCCACCAAGACGGCCCAAGATGGCTCAAAGATCGCCAAAGACGGCCCAAGAGGCCTCCAAGAGGGCCTCCAGGAAGGCCCGAAGAGGGCCCCAAGGCAGCCCAAGAGGCCTCCAAGGCAGCCCAAGAGGCCTCCAAGACGCCCAAGATGGCCTGCAAGGCGGCCCTGGAGCATTCCAAGAGGGCCCCCTGTCGGCCCAGAGAGGCTCCCAAGACAGCTACCGATGGCGTCAGACGGGCCAGGATGCCACCAATACGGCCCAAGATGGCTCGAGGATGGCCCAAGACGGCCCAAGAGGCCCCCAAGAAGCCTCCAAGACTGCCAACGAGGCCTCCAAGAGGTCCTCCAGGACCGCCCGAAGAATCCCAAATCACTGATTTTCCTTAAGATCTCGAAGGATTTTGGCGTTTGCTTCTTTTTGGCCTTCCGACTGCCCGAGACGGCCCAAGAGCCCCGAAAGATCGCCTAATAGGCCTCCAGGACGGCCCCAGAGGCCCCCAAGACGGCCCCCAGACGCCCAAGAGGCCTCCAAGACGCCCAAGATGGCCTCAAAGACAGCCCTGGAGCACCCCAAGGGGGTTTCAAGTCGGCCCAGAGAGGCCCCCAAGACGGCTTCCGACGGCGTAGGACGGGCCAGGAATGCACTGAGACGGCCCAAGAGGCCCCCGAGAAGCTCTCAAGGGCACGCTAGAGGCGCAAGGAGGCCCCCAAGATGCCTCCAAGAGGCTCCCAAGAAGCTCCCAGGAGGCCCCAAGAGTGCCACAAGAGGCCTCCAAGATGCCCCCTCCTCCTCCTCCTCCTCCTCCTCCTCCTCCTCCTCCTCCTCCGCCGCCCCTCTCCCTCCTCCTCCTCCTCCTCCTCCTCCTCCTCCTCATCTCCTCCTTATGCTCCTCCTCCTCCTCCTTCTCCTTCCCCCTCTCCTGATCTTCCCCGCCATCCTCCCCCCAAATGCTCCCCGACGGGTTTCCACAGCGGTTGGGGGAACACATGGTCCGATAGCTTGGCAGAGCTCTTGCCGCAACGCTCGGACACATCAGCGATTTCAAACCCCTTGCTCCCCCGCACATGTTCCCCGGAGGCTTTCCAAGCCGACTCGGGAAACGGCTGGCCCGATAGCTTGGCCAAGCTCCAGCCCAGCTGTCAGCCGCACAGGCGCTTCCACAAGGGCAGGGGACGGCGGTGATTCGCCGTAGGCGCCTTCGAGCCGCCGCTCACTGTGGCTTGCACAGCGTGCCACACTTTCGGTAGTTCTGCATCTTTCTTAAACATTCCCATTGGGGTTTCGGCCGAACGCGCCGGCCAATCGGAAGGCCGCGTAAAAAGACGTTTCGCGTTCCCAAATCGCTTCAAAGTCGGTCAAGATGGCACTCGACGGCCTCGAAGATGCCTCCAAGACGGTCCCAAGGCGCATCCAATACGGCCAATATGGCCCCAAGACAACACAAGATGTCCTCCAGACGGCCCAAGAGGCCCTCAAGACGCCCCACTAGGGCTCCAGGAGGACCTCCAGGATGCCAAAATCACTGATGATATTTCTCAAGTTAGTCAAATATTTTAGAGGTCTCGCCTTTCGGGCATCCGACGCTCCAAGACGGCCCCGTGGGCCCCCGGGATCGCCCCAAGATGGCTCCATACAGCTCCAAGGTGGCCCTACAGCGCCCAAAGAGAGACCCACGACTGTCCAGAGAGGGCCCCCAAGACGACCTCCGAATGCCAAGATTTCCCTTGGAGGCCCTCAGGAGCTCCCGAGAGGCCTTCAAGAGGACACTCAGAGGCCCCCAAGAGGCTCCCAGGAAGCCCCTTGGAGGCCCCAAGACGGCCACTAGAGAACTCCTCCTCCTCCTCCTCTTCCTCCTCCTCCTCCTCCTCCTCCTTCTCCTTCTCCTCCTTCGCTTCCCTCAGCTCCTGCTTCCTCTTCCTCTCTCCATTGTTCCCCCAAATGGCTGGGGAAACACGTAGTCCAATAGCTTGGCCAGACTTCGGCCCAACGTTTGACCGTATGGGCGTTTCCAAGAAAAGGCCAGGGCAACGATGATTCGCCGTGGCCGTCTTCGATGGGGCCGTAGTGGCGCTCAACTCCCATCGCACCTCGTACAATCGACCCGAATCATAAGGGCGCACGATAAGGATACAAGGGCCTTGGGAGGCCGTTTCGAAGCTTTTCGAGTGTGGCGCGGCCAACAAAAATTGCCCAATATGGACCGAAGAGGCAGGGATGCAAGGGCCCCCTTGGGAAAGTTGCCCATCCTTACTAATGAGGGCAGCGGGCATGCACGGGGAAGGCTGCGCTCCACGGCCACACCGTGGCTCCAGTAGCAAAGAGGATATGCCCCCAAGCAGCACGGACTCATCGGTCCTGCGTGCCATGCGGTCGCACTTGCAACCTCAAGGGACAAACTTTTGGGAACGGCCGGTTCGCCTGCTCTGCCTCCTCGGGCCGCCTCCTTCGAAAGAGCGTGCGCGGGGGGCCAGGGTGGCCCCCGCTTCGAGCTGCGGCTATGTTTTCAAGGAAGGGGGACAGGGGGGGAGGGCGCTTCCGGCGCTACCCCCCGTCCCTTTTGTCGGCTGGGCCCTCCCTGGCTGTCCCGGGGGGAGGGGGGGTGGCTTGCAAGCTCCCCTCCCTCCCCCCCTCTTTTCGTAGCCAGGGGCAGGCCTGGGACACAGAGAGAGACACGGAGAGAGACACAGTGACACAGAGACACACACAGACACACACAGACAGAGGCACAGACACAAACACACACAGACACACACAGACACACACAGACACACAGACACACACAAACACACACGCAAACACACACAAACACACACAAACACAAACACATACACAAACACACACAAGCACACACAAGCAAACACACACAAACACACATACAAACACACACACAGACACACACACAAACACACACACACAAACACACACACACACGCGCACGCGCACGCGCTCGCGCACACACGCACACACGAACACACGCACACACGCACACACGCGCACACACACACACGCGTACGCACACACGCACGCAAACAGACGTACACACACGCACACACAATCACAATCGCACACACACATGCGCACAGGCAAGCGCATTCCTCGTGTCTAATTCCGGTCATTTCCAATTCTGGCCGCGAATTAGAAACGAGAGGTGCCGACTGGATGGGGTCGGCATCGTTGAGCCCACGAATTAGACGTGAGCGCTCTGTAAGTAAAAACATGAAGTAGGAAGGCGGACTAAGTTGATTGGGTCCAGGCCCCCCAGGAAATAACAAGGCAAAGCAAAAGCGTGTCGATTCTTGAAGTAGGAAGGCGCATGAAGTAGATTGGGATCTGGGAACCCAAAAATACCTACTTCCAACGACCGGCGTGTAACTTTTCCCTGTCGCACCCCGAGGCCAGTTATTAGGGCGGGCCGGGCGTTTCGCCTGAGACGTCCTCACCATTGATGACCCTGAATCTTGGCAACAATTTCACAGATGGAGGGCGGGCCGTTTTCAAAATGCGGCTTGCGCGAACTCGTCAAACAATATTGCAAGAGTTTCACAAAGTTAGGGCGGGCCGTTTTCAAAATGTGGCTCTCGCCTGAGCGCTGTGCACATCCATTTTTCTCTGAAAACACATGCAGTTCACGGATTGAGGGCGGGCCATTTTCAACATGGGGCTCTCGCCTTAGCGCCGCGTGAACTCGTCTTGAGCATTCGCAGAAGTTTCACGGATTGAAGGCGGCTATTTTCAAAATGTGGCTCTCGCCTTAGCGCCGCGCACATTGGTTTTCAACATGTGCAAGATCTTCACATATCCCCATGATCAGCGTACCAGCAATAGGGTTTGTAAGGATTCAGGATTATGAGGGCGCAACATTTACGTTGATGCGCGGTGTTGAAGTGCCAAGAATGTCGTTCGGGCAGGATTCAAGACCGTCAAGACACAACCGTCAGGTTGATCCTTGGCGTTGTTAATCCGAGAACAATTTGTTGGCATGCTTCAGGGTCTTCAAACGGTTGTCTTCCAACGAACCAGTTCCCTCAGGGGAAATGAACCGTTGTAGGGGCATGCGAAGAGGGAGCTTGGAGGGAGGGCTTATTCCAACATCGTTGATGGCTCTTGAATTTACCGTGGTCCTCCTCTTCGTCCTCCTCGTCCTCCTCCTCCTCCTCCTCCTCCCTCCTCCTCCTCCTCCTCCCCTCCCCTCCCCCTCCCCCTCCCCCCCCTCCCCCTCCCCCTCCCTCCCCTCCCCTCCCCCCCCCTCCCCCCCCCTCCCCTCCCCTCCCCCTCCCTCTCCCCCTCCCCCTCCCCTCCTCGCTCCCTCCCTCCTCCCTCCCTCCTCCCTTTCCCTCCTCCTTCTCCTTCTCCCTCTCCCTCCTCTCCTCCCTCCTCCCTCCTCCCTCCTCCCTCCTCCCTTCTCCCTCTTCCTTCCTCGTCCTCGTCCCCGTCCTCGTCCTCGTCCTTCTCCTCCCCTCATCCCTGCGGGCCTTTCACCCGGACCCGGAGCTTGATGTACGTCGGGCTAGGCGTCGGGCTAGGCGCCAGACTCGGTGTTGGGCTCGCCACTGGTGCTGCTGTCGGGCTTGGCGTCGGGCTGGGCGTCGGGCTCGCCACTGGTGCTGCTGTCGGGCTGGGCGTCGGGCTGGGCGCCGGGCTCGGTGTTGGGCTCGCCACTGGTGCTGCTGTCGGGCTGGGCGTCGGGCTGGGTGTAGGGCTCGGAGTAAGGCCAGGTGTTGGACTAGCCTCGAAAAACCGCCGCCGCCCCATGCAACGGTTGGCGCGTGTCCGGCCCTGCCTTTTTTGTAGTCTCGCCCCTTGCGAGGCTATACCTGGGGCCCACCTACGCATCGCGCCCCACAAACGTTCACGTTCTCCACGAGATTCCTGCATCCTTTGGGCCTTCCCCCCGTTAAACAACAAGGAGAAACCAGAGCTTCCCGTCTTGCCTTCCGCGGCCAACCCCCTTGGATCCCCCCCCGCCCTTCCTCCCGCCCCTTCCCCGCCCCCTGCCGAGGCGCCCGCCCAAGCGCGGCGGCGGAGTCGCGCTGCAACTCAACTGGATGAGGATTTGTAGATTTTGGTGGGGGTACACCGAAAACTGGTTCATGCCTACCCCGTTGCTCCCCATGGCTTTCCAAAGCCAGCCGGAATTCGGGGACCCGCCCCGTCTCAGCGCCCCCTAGTCCCAGGCGATCCTCGATAGCGGTCCGCTCAAAGTTGCATGCGCTTTCGTTCGGATACTTGGTCTGGGCTTGGACTGGTCCACGGCTGTTCGCATCGACAGTCATGGGGGTTGAGAGTGTCAATCATGAGAAATATCCACCCCTCCCCCTACCTCCCTAGGGCGGGGCGCTTTTCCTTTGGAATCAGTGGGAGTCGCAACGCGAGGAGTGAGTGGGGAGTGCCAGTACGTAGCCAGGAACGTCAGAGGAGTATCGATGATTTGGGACAAGGACCTGGGTAGGAGTGGCGCAGAATTTGACGCGTGGCTGCTGTAACACATGGAGAATGTTAGTGACACGCACCAGAGACCTCAGGATTTATTCACGTAACACTGCCAAGCCATCTCAGCATTGTCATGAGTTATCATGCTGGGGCAGGGGACTAGCGACAGGAGAGGGGGGATAATGAAGCCTGGGGAGCGAGCGCGCGTAGGGAAGCGTTCAGATGGAAAGAAGTAGTAATGGCATTGCACATGTCGGGAAGGCCGCTGCTAATACGAACAATAATGGGGCGGGACAGCGCAAATATAGAGTAGGAACGGTTACAGCGATCTACGTCCTCCCTGTCCGCATCCTCATTTTCACCATCTTCCCCCCGTTGGCGGCGCTCACAAGGGGGCTCGGGGAGGGGGAAGGCTTCTTAGAAGGAAGCTGTTTCTTAGAAGGCGCCAGTCCTACATCTATAGACAATGCCCGCACCCCCCTTCTGCGCGTGGCCGACCCTTCCTGCTTCTCGTTCCTTCTCTTCGCCATCGTTCGTATCACCGTACCATACTCATGTCTCTTTATCGCCCTCCGCTCCCCTCATCTCTCCTCCTCCCCGTCCTGAACCTCATCCTTCTCTCCTGGCCCTTCTGAACTTCATCCTGCCTCCCATCTTCCTGCCCCTAATCCTTTTCGTTATCCCCACCATCTTCCTTGCTCATCCTCATCTCCCTCTCCTCCTCCTTGGTACCATCATCCCTCTCCATCAGCTGATTCCTCCATCATATGATTCCTCATTCCTCGTCTTCATCACCGCCAGTATTTTCCTCGTCGTGCTCGTCCATATAATCATCATCTTCCACACTTGTCCTGATCAATATCATCCTGCTGCTCATCTTCTTGTCCTCCTTCCCTCGTCCTGGTCCACAACTTCGTGCTCCCTCTCATCGTCAGAACTCTCATCCTCAACCTGACCACCCGCCGCAACACAACATAACACTGCACATTATGGACGTTTACGTCAACGAACGAGTGTTATGAAGGCGCCTGGAGTGGAAACCACTCGGTCGCCGTGTAACGATCCATGGGCGTTGGGTAATCCACATCTTGCACGTGTACATCCACCCACGAACTGCCAACATACTTCTGCATTGTCCATTGCACAGGGTCCCTGTTTCGGCCATCGTTGGCGGTTATGAACCTGAAGCTATCTGGTTCCGGGCTGCAATCCACGATCGTAAGCTCGAGAGGTAACACATTTTTGTCGAGCCATTTGGTAGCGACGTCGCCATCTATGGCCTTTTCGGGGCTTTGTCCACCATTGTAGTCACCTCCAGGGTTCGTTGCGGAACTGATCGTAACATCGGCCCCGTTGCTCATAAATTCGATCTCCGCCAGCTGGACCATCTGATCAGCTCGTAACTTCGTTGGTGTGAACTTGTAAACGCAATCCACATTTGCCGTTGGTGCTGCCGTCGGGCTGGCCGTCGGGTTGGCCGTCGGGTTCGGCGGTGGGCCCGCCGTTGGTACCTTTTCTCTGGCTTCGCTGGATGCGAAGCTGTACTGGGGGGCTCCGACGCGTCGAAGCCCTCACGCGTTCAATTGTCATACTACTCGGGCTGGACTTCCGCACAATGACTGGACAACTGAACAAAACCCATCGTTTTGTGCGAGTGCATCGCGTGGCGCCGCCTGGACCGAAACCGAAGCAATCCCCGTGGAACAAAAAACAAAGGGTCGCTGTTCGCGTGCCGGTGGCGCCTTTGTCGCTGCGGCTGCTGCTGAGCGCACGGGGTGTGGCGACACGGGCGACACCTGCGCGTGGACGGCGAGCCGCAAGGGCCGCATGATCCAGATGGCCCGTACCACCAGCATGGGCCGCATGGGATGCGGGGGCCGCAAGGCCTTGCTGGAAACGAACCCCTGTTGCAACTCGGCCGCGCACCGACCAACCGAGCAACCCAGGTAGTGCATAGCCGGCCAGGCCAACCAACCAACCAACTAAGTAGATCCCTATGTGCTCATGTGGGCAAACGTAACAACCCATGGCGGCTCCCCCAAAAGAGTGCCCCACCGCTGCGTGTTGAAAATATGTGAACGTTTGTGGGATGATCGTGGTCAGCCACAGTACCAGTGAGACTGAATGTGGGTGGGTCTGAGCGCGGCTGTGCCCGAGCATGGGTAGTCAGTCTGAGTAAACATGAATTTTGGTATCAATGGGACTGAGTGGTGTGGTCTGAATGCGGGTGGTCTGAATATGAGTCGACATGAACATGAATGCAGTGTGTGAACGTGTTGTGCGCATGAGCCTGAATATGCCTAAGCTGAGTCTGCGTTGAACTGAATGTAAGTAAGGGGACGCAGCCTGCTGCTGGGCGCGAGCGGGCGAGCGCCCCCTTCATTGGCAATTCGTCGCTGAGGCGTCTGATTGCCACGCCTGCTGTATCGCGGTGATCATGTGCCCCGGCTAATATCATACATCCTAACGGCTTGCCCTCCGGGTGATCAAGTGCCACGCCTGCTATGTCGTGGCGGCCATGTGGCTTTCAAAAAACAAATCTGATCCAAGAAACTTGCAGACCGATAGAGACATCCACCACAATGTGGGCGCGAACGAACACGGCCTTTTCTTGGGGTCACCAAGTGACACGCCTGCGTTGTCGAGGCGACCAGACTGCTCTCAAGACAGAAGAGCTTGTCAGGGTCAGCGGGCAGACCGCCACACTCTTGGCGCGAACGGGCACGTATTGCCCCCTGGCGGCTCTTCCTCGGGGTGCCCAAGCTGCACCCTTGCTCTACCGCGGTGGTCATGCGTTTGTCAAAATAGACTTGTATACTCTGCCCCACGAGTTGTACACCAGGAGCAACTGAACGAAAGTTAGAACCTGGAGGAACGTGAACATGGAGAGGATGAGGAAGAACAAATAGCCGCAAGAGACCATCGGGACAAAGTCGCTCGAAGATTCTAGGCCTGGTTCAAAACCTCGCGGCCCCCAAACAAACAAACAGCCTGGAACCCTCACAATGATATCGCAAACGGGCGCGTGCCCGACCCCCAGGCGGCTGTTCCTCGGGGCGCCCGGGCATCACGCACTCGCGCGTCTGTCAAAACATGAGGGTGTGTGCTCCACCAACCGACCAGTCCGAGGCGGCAACTCCCTGGGGTACCCTACTGCTACGCCTGCTACATCTTGATGGGCGTCAAATCGCGCGTGAGCGCATCAAGGCCCGGATTGGTTTGAATATGGTTGAGTGTGGGTGCGAGTGAGCCTGAGTGATCCTGACCATGTGCGAGTCTGGTGTGAGTGAGTCTACGTTGGGTGTGAGCGGGCCTGAGTGTCAGCGGGCTTGCTTGCGATTTGGTCGGATTGTCCGCGCGTAGGAAATCCGCGTGTAGAAGTCGAGGGGCGAAGGGGCGGGATGCGGATGCGTCAAGCAAATACTGCGTCACGCGAATCACGCTGCCAGGGAAGAGGCGTACATCCTGCAATGCTGAACATGGCTACGCTGAGCGGAGGGGGCGCGATTACGACGGCAACGGCTGGGGCTGAAGGAGGCGGTGCGGGGAACAAACCAGGAGGACGAGCGATACCCGATCAACCAACAAACCCGCCATGCAGCCAAACACCGAAACAACAATCCCAACCAAACAGTCAAACGTCCCGGCATTGTCGCTTGAGTCTTCCTCGCATCGCTGGCGCCATGACGGGGGGGGGCAAGGCGGGCATAATGGCAGGGCTGATGAAGAGGTTGCGGGGGCGGGAAGAATCCGGGAAATGAGGAACCACTGAACATGTCCCCTCCCGCAAGGCAGGGGCGCCATGTAGGCCCTCTCCGCCCCCGTCGGCCGCCGGAGCAGCCTGGATTGAAGTGGCGTGGAAGGAATGACGGAATGCCGTCCAACACTCGTCCGCAAACAGAAAGCGAAGCAGGGCTGGGGAGCGGGGCAATAAAGACTGGCTCGCAAGAGGGAAGAGGAGAGGGAAGGAACGCACCGCCGCGCGCCACCGCGCGGCTGCAGCGCATCGCGAAATAGAAGAACGCCCGATGCACCCGGAGCGCAGCACGGGCCAACCCGCCGCAGACGAGGCCTGGCGGACGAAACGTTGCTAACTGCAGCGCGCCCATGAATGCCACCAACGACCGGCTAAATCCGCGCGGCAACGAAGACGCGGAGGAAAAACAAAGAACACATGGGGAACAGGAGGACCCAATAAACAAACTGGATAACACCAAAAAAGAAGAGGAGGAAAAGAGTCGGAAAGGGGAAGGACTGCACAAGTCAGGTCCTAGCCCGCGTGTGGGTGACGCCCTTGTCGCAGGAACGCGAGGCTTGGGGACAGGGGGGGGGGTGACGCGTGCGCGTGGACTGTGCTGTGCGTGGGGCGCGGGAGCTGCGCGTGCCACATGGGCCGCCGGAGCTGCGCGGAACGCAAAGCCCGCGTAATCCACATGGGCAGGCCGATCCGCGTGGGATGTGGGGGGCGGGGGGCAGCGTCGGACTGCCGAGGCCGCGTGGGCCGCGCGAGGCGCGCGGGCGCCCCCTGCAGAGGGCTGGACGAGACGCGCGGGCAGCGCAGAGCGAACGGGCCGCGGGCGATATCTATGCACCACGTGGCCGCTTGTGCTGATCAGCGCGCCGGATGTGCGCGATCCGCGTGGCAGTTGATCTTGCGCGCCGCCATGCAAACCCTGCGCGAACACCGCAGGACTGGTAAACACTTCAGGCCCAATGAACACCACGTCGTGCGAGCATTCGGGGGACCGGCCCCCGCCGCCAAACCGTCGGGTGAGTGCCGCGCCGACCAAACCAATCAATCACCCAACCATCAAACGCAACAACATCACTTGAGATGTCCTCACACTGCGGGCGCGTGGTTTGAAGGGGAAGGCGCGCGCCTGGCAATGGCATTTTGTTTCTCGACAGCGACGGGGGCAGAGACCCGGGCGACCAGCCAACCCAACCACGCAACCAAAAGTCTCGGCGCTGTCGCTTCCGCGTTCCTCGCAACCTGGGCGCCAGAGCAGGGGGCAATGCGTGCATCAAGTGATGTTGCCTGGCAAAGAGGGAGGGCGGGGAACGGACGAACCAGGAAGAGGAGGCGCAACAGACGATCCCCCCCCCCCGCAAAAAGGCAGGGGTGCAGTGTTGGGCCTCCCGTCCCCGACGGCCGTCGAAGCCTGGCTCGGACACCTCCAATTTGGGCTCGGAGCGATGTCGGCGCCGCGGCGGGGGAGGCGGGGGGAAAGGGAAGGGGGGGCCCATCCCACAAACGCCCATCTGCCGACAAGAAGCGGGAGGGGGGACCAGGGCAGAAAGAAAGGGCGCGAGGAGGCAGAGGGAAGGAACGCGCTGCAACGCACCACCGCGCGGCTGCACGGCACAGCGCGAACGGGGGCAACGCCAGATGCGCCTGGAACGCAACACAAACCAATCCGCCTCAAATGAAGCCTGGCGGACGAAATGTTGCTAACTGCAGCGCGCCCCGAGACCCAAGTGGCTGGCCAAATCCGCGCGGCATCATAAAGGCGGAGGAACCAAAGAGAGCCAAACTGAAAACTAAGGACCCAAACAACGAGTGGGAGAGTGCCGGATGGGCTGCACAAGCCACATGTTCGCGGAGGTAGAGCCTCTCAAGAGCGAACTGCTGCACAAACGACGGCATGAATAATGCTTCGACACGGAAAATCCACATGCATGCATCGGTGAGCTTCTTCTCCTCCTCCTCCTCCTCCTCCTCCTCCTGATCCTCCTCATCCACGCTACTTTTGTTCGCCAGGTAGCGCGTAAATTTGCTTGCGATTTCTGTCTAGGAGCGTCGGAAAGTGAGCGGGTATGTAAGAAAATGGGTCGGCCGAGACATCCTCGCAATATGAGCGCGACCGCGCCCGTGATGTATCATTTAGCGGCCCCCCTTTGAGGTCTCCGCATTTCACGCCTGCTACATCACGACGACCATGCAGCCCTGAACAAGTATAAGCACAACCGAATAAAACAAACAACGAGCGTTCCGCTTGCGGCATCCCCACAAGCTGGGGACCAATGGATAAGTGTCCCAAAAGAGACACGTCTACCTCTCAACAACCAGCGTTAATCGTCAGACATCCCGACAACATGTGAACTGATACGCAAGTGTCCTGCCCTCTAGCGGCTAACCTTGTATTGCCCAAGTCGTATGTTTACTACCTCGTCGCGGCGACTGCGCGGCCCTAGAAAGAGACGCGTCGACCTTCCCAAAACCAACGTTTCAATTGAGATATCACTACATTCTGGACGCGAGCGCACCCGCGATATACCCCCTGGCGCCTCCCTCCTGTGGCGTCCAAGTTCGATGACTGCTACACCACGACTGCCCCGGCCTGAAACACACATGCCTAGCTTCCAAGAGCCAGCTGTTCGCGTGGGACGTCCCCACAATCTGGGCGCCAACGGGCAAGTGTCCTACCCTCTGGCGCCCCCCCTCCCTCTCAGGGGTCCCAAGTATTCGCTGTCTACGTGGCGGCCCTGAAAACAAAAACACGCCCACCTC